AATTTAATGTGTTGTGAATGCTTTAAAAAAGAATTATAGTTTAGGGCTAGAAAGATGGTTCAGTAGTTAAGAAATATATTTAGAAAATATAATTAGAAATATAGTTTCTTCATAAGAATTTAATGTGTTGTGAATGCTTTAAAAAAGAATTATAGTTTAGGGCTAGAAAGATGGTTCAGTAGTTAAGAAATATATTTAGAAAATATAATTAGAAATATAGTTTCTTCATAAGAATTTAATGTGTTGTGAATGCTTTAAAAAAGAATTATAGTTTAGGGCTAGAAAGATGGTTCAGTAGTTAAGAAATATATTTAGAAAATATAATTAGAAATATAGTTTCTTCATAAGAATTTAATGTGTTGTGAATGCTTTAAAAAAGAATTATAGTTTAGGGCTAGAAAGATGGTTCAGTAGTTAAGAAATATATTTAGAAAATATAATTAGAAATATAGTTTCTTCATAAGAATTTAATGTGTTGTGAATGCTTTAAAAAAGAATTATAGTTTAGGGCTAGAAAGATGGTTCAGTAGTTAAGAAATATATTTAGAAAATATAATTAGAAATATAGTTTCTTCATAAGAATTTAATGTGTTGTGAATGCTTTAAAAAAGAATTATAGTTTAGGGCTAGAAAGATGGTTCAGTAGTTAAGAGCACTGGCTATTCTTTGCAGAGGACCTGGGTTGGTTCCCAGCACCCACATGGCAGCTAACAACCATCCATATTTCTACTTCCAGGGGATTCTGTTGCCCTCTTCTGTCCTCTTTGGGCACTGCACAACATTGGTGCACTTACATACATGTAGGCAATATACTCATACACATAAAGTAAAATGATAGTATCTAAAAAAGAATTATATTCTAAATTATTCCCTGCTAGTATACAGACATATAATCCATTTTCCCATGCTTTCTATGGCATGTTTTATTCTGCAGTGTTGCTGAATTCATAAACCTGATCTTTTTCTTAGGTGCTTTGAAAGTGTTAAAATGAGCTGGCAACTTAGGGAAAATTGTATTTCTTCGTTTCCAATACAGATGACTTTATTTCTTTTTCTTACTCTATTATATTGATTGCAACTTCCAATATAATGCTTTCTTCTTAGGGCAGGCATAGGATCCTTTTAGATTGCTTATGTCAATGCTGTATGCCCTGATTATCTTACATATTAAATCTATTCACATTAATGTCCCTTTGGGCAATTTTAAAAGTATTTTCTTTTAGTTACTGAGGTTGATGCAAGAATGGCCACCCAAAGATGTCTACACCTGAACCTAGAATCTATGAATATGGTACTTTACATGGCAAAGGAATTTTGCACTTGTGATTAGGCTAAGATAGAGTGATTGTCCTCCATTATGCAAATGGTCTTAGCATAACAATATAAGGTATTAAGAGCAGAGGAGAGTTTCGAATTGTAGTCAGAGAACTGGAAGGACTGTAGAAGGACTTATGCTGCTGGGAGTGGCTCTGAAGACAGAAGGGAACATGAGCCAAGGGATGCACACACCCTCTTAAAGCCTAAAAGGCAAGTATAGAGCTTGAAGAATGCAATAGTCTTCTTGCCAACCCTTTGATTTTACCATGAAAAATCTAATACCAGACTTATAATGTAAGGAATTGTCAGATAACTTTTTGTTGTTTTAGGACACTGAATTTGTGGTCATTTATTACAGTAGCAATACAAACTAACATGGCCATCAAACATTTTTACAGAACTCGACAGAAGTCTACTGTGTTTACCCAAGTATTGACCATTTCTGTGTTTTCTCTTCATTTTTTGATGTGCTACATATATTTCTAATCATTCTAAGATCACTACACTCATCAGAGAGATCAGTGACATTTTGCCCTTTCTGACTTTGGCCACAAGTCATTGTTTCCCGTTCTGGGGTGGATGTTACATTTTATGTTGTCTCAGGGCTCCTACTGAGTCTGGAACTGTCCCCTTTGATGGTTGGATTGTGTCTCACTCTCTCCTGGTCATTGATTGCATCAGGTACTCCCTGCTAAGTTTCACCACCTGTCATTTTCTAGCACTTGGGGAATTTCTTGTGTTAGTGTATAGAACATACATGAATGAGATGTTGAATACATGTTTATGATGAGAGGTGATCCCCTTAAGGCCAGTATGACTAACGATTTTGACTAAAATTTCATTCTGTAGTCCGTTTACTTACTTATTTACAAATAAAGGATCTCATATAATTAAAGTTGACCTCGAGCTCACTATGTAGCTGAGGATGACATTGAATTTATGATCTTCTTGCCTGTACCTCCCAAGAGCTGGGATTCTATGTGTGTGACACCACACCTGGTTTTATGGGATGCTGGGGATAGAACTGAAGGGCTTTGTGCATGCTAGGCTAGCACTCTTCTAGTTAATACCTATAAGTACTTTAATATTAGTTTTTAAGTACATATTGTAGTTAACAACCACAACATTAGTGGGTTTAAACTGCACATGTTTATTACCGAACATTTCACTGGAAGGCTAAAGTGAGCCTTACTGTGCTAACTCACGTTATTGGCAGCACCATGCTCTTTTCCAGAGGTTCTGGGAGACATTGTTTCCGCACCCTTTCCTGTATTTAGAGGTTGCCCAAATTCCTTGGCTCATAGCTTTTCTGTGTTTCCCATCTTCATATTCAGCAATAACATGCCGAATTCTTTTCATACTGCACCATTCTGATTACTTCTTCCTTGGTCATTTTCTTAGTTGATGATCTTTGTGAGTATACTGCGTGGCTAGACAACCCAGGAGAACGTCCCAATTTTAAGGTCACAGAACCATCACTCCTACCCCAATCTGCAATTTCAGGATTAGGACTTGGAAAAACTTGGGGGTGGGGAGATGGACAAGAGTATTCTGCTTCCGTAATGATTTCAAGGACATGTTTATATTGTTTAAAGGAGTTTCACAACCCAAATCAGTGAGGAGCTCTGCACCAGTTGGTGCAGTGTTCCCATATTCCAAAGAGTGCTAGCTCTAGGTAGAGGGTAAGAAACTAAGGATGTTTATTATATTCCACAAAACACACATTTAAAAGGCTGTGACCAAAGTAATGCTAACAGACACACAGATAGAATGGAATACTGAGAACACTGGCATCTGTGGTTAGAGACCCCGACTGCCTCTAACTATCTCACAGGGAACAGAACAAAGAATTATCCAAACACAAAGTGTCAGTAGCGCTAAGCTTGAAAAGTGACTAGCACAGTAACTCACTTGTAGTTCCGGTTCCAAACTTTAGACTTCCGTTCTATAGTACAAGCCTGTACTTAGAAGGAACGATTTCTGTGTCTAATAGGCTTGAATAATTACAGTAGCAGACTTAACAGGAATAAATTGGGGTGTGTCAAATACCATCCTTGTGGTATGCAAATAAGTATGGCGCATCGGAGCTGTGCCCACTACCCACCAGAGTCAGAGGATGTGGGAGTGTCACTAATTTATGATTTGGTTGAGGACAGCTGTGCCAGGAAAGCTTCTACATGCAGACATCTGTGAATATGTATGTTTATATCCCTCATTTTCTCTCCAATAGTAATTTGAAGGATAGTATTCTTTAGAATGTATTTTATGTGAGCTTTATAGCTATTGCTAGACTTTAATATTTGAAATGTACTATTATAGAAAGATGTTTAATTCCCCAACAAATAATTTCCTTTTAACTAATTGTATTTGGCATATTTTTAACAAATTTGGGATGCCTTACAGCCATTAGAATATTTCTCAAACCTTAGAAAATTTGTCATGGAATTTAGTGGAAATATTAAAAGGGAGAATCAACAACTTGGAAAAGCCCCCAAATTCTAGTTTCCACCATAAAAATTCCAAAAACCAAGACAGAAATGGATAAAATTCCATAAAAATTCCAAGAACCAAGACAGAAATGAATTTCCATCACTACAGAGAGCTATGCAGAAATGCATATAGCATAATCACGTGGTGGTGACAGAGCAGCCTGTTCTGCAAGACCTCAGGTGACCCAGTAAGCACATCAGTTACTGTGGCTGCATAGGACTCAGGCGAGGTCAGAATCCATCTGGTTGTGTGGAGAGTGGAGACGCTTTACTTGTACTGATTGACATTTTCATCACTTTTGAAACTCTAACTTTTACACAATGGTAGTTGAATGACTTCTAAAAATTTACTGCAAGGTGTTAGGGCTCTGTTGAAAATATATGCGCTATTGACTTTGAATATATCCTTTTTTGGCCTGCTAAGAAATAGAGCATAAATGGTCTCTCTTTTTAGTTCTAGATATGTTTGGGGAGGGATAAGTAAAGTCTCCTGGAGTGTGGCCAACAGTGGTGGCTATTCTCTCTCTCACCAGGGTTCAATTTTGTGTTTTATGAAAAACCTATAATATACTTATCTATCTTTCTGTCATCTATCAAATCCATCCATGCATCATCCATCCTTCTGCCTACCTACCTATGTACCTACATACCTCCCTCCCTCCCTCCCTCCCTCCCTACCTACCTATATATCATCTCTTCATCCATCATTTATCTATTTATCAGTCATCTATTATCTACCTACCTACCCTACTTACTTATGTCTCCCTCCCTCCCTCCCTCCCTCCTTTACATTCATCCATCATGTATTCGTTCTAATATGTATCCCCGCCTTTCCGGGTGGGTAGGATGCCCAGCTCTGCCCCTTGACTCTTGCTGCTGTGTGGGATCTTGGACTTGGGGTTTGGCCAGGGGCGCGCGCGCAGTCCTGGAGCTGTCCAGCAGCTCCTGCCTAAGTTCTCTGTGCCTTATGTGCCTTGAAGACTCTTCAGCGCCCCGCCCCGGGCAGAGACCCTCTCCAGCAGGGCTTCCCAGGCTCACTGTCCGCCTCCGCCTGGGTCTCCCCTGTCTAGCCCCGAGTCTTGCGTGATTTGGCGGGGTCTTTCTCTCCGCCCGGGAGGGGGTGCCCTCCGCCCGGGCATCTCCGCACCATTCCTGTGTGAGTGCGGGCTTCCCTCCTCTGCCCGAGGCGGGCGAAAGCCTTTCTTTGCAGCCTCGCCTCCTGCGGCTGGGTGGTCCTTTCTCTCCGCCGCTCTTTGGAGACACGCGCCGGAGATCCAGGGTGAGCGCAAACACCTCCCATCAACTTGGCACCTCGTGTGCCTTCCACCGAGGCTGCGGGAGGGTGCCGGGGGCAGAGGGCGGCGGCTGCGGGCCGGGCGGCCGGACCCGGGTGCAGGATTGTCTCCGCCTTTCCAACAGGTTCGGGGGCGGGAGGACGGGTGGGCTAGGGCGCCCCGGCTTTCCCGGAGCCTCCTCCCTTCCCCCGGGTGCGCGCTTCGGCCGCGTGGCTCGGCGCAGCTCCCCGCAGGTCCCCGCGAGCCCGACCGGGGACCGCCGCCTGGGCCGCGTGCGGAGGATGCGCGCGGCGGCGGCTCCAAGTTCGGCGCGCGCCCGGGGGGGCGGCCCTCCTCTTCCCTAGGCGGCCGCCGCGAGCTAGGTCTGCGGCCACCGCCGGAGGGCCCGCGAGGGTGTCCCGCTTCCTCCCCAGCACCTCTTGGTCTCTATCTTTATTTTTAAAGAGGGAGGCGATGGACTGAGCCGATGCACACCATGGAGTCCCGGGTGTTGCTGAGAACGTTCTGCGTGATCCTCGGGCTCGGAGCAGGTGCGTGGCCGCGGGGCCGGGCTGGGGACAGGGATGCTTCCCGCTGCGCGGTCCCCGCAGAAGGCGGTCTGGAGTGGGGGGCTCCGGCTTCTGAGTCCTCCGGTGCCAACCTTTGAGACTGCGAGGCGGGTCACGCCCTTAGGGTCTGGGCTGAGGGGGAACTTTGCACCGAGAGGGGCTTAAAGTAGGTCATGGAAATGGGACCGAGCGTTTCGCTATTTAAAGCTCGGCATCTGGTCCAGGTTAGGCCGGCTAGAGGGGACAGATGCCTGTCTTCACCATTTCTCAATATTGTTGGGGAGACGCGTTCTTTGCCCCTTAGGAGGAAGAGGCTCACATTCTAATGGGCCTTTTTCTTTCTTTCCTCCTTCTGCCCACTCCCACCAGTTTGGGGGCTTGGTGTGGACCCCTCCCTACAGATTGACGTCCTAACAGAGTTAGAACTTGGGGAGTCCACAGCTGGAGTGCTCCAGGTCCCAGGGCTGCATAATGGGACCAAAGCCTTCCTCTTTCAAGGTATGGTGCGCGCCTTGCGTTGAGATGCCCAGGGAGGAGTTCCTCCTAATTTGGAGATACCTGGGGCGGGGAGGCGGGGTCCTGAGCTGGGCTGAGGAGTCAGTGTGTAGACGTGGTCCTCTCTTTTTAAGTGGCATGGCTTCCCCTGTTCCTGGCGCCCTCCTCCTTGTTCGGTGCACTAGCCAGTTCTAATGGATAGTGTCTTAATTACCGACCGGAAACTCCAGTGGCAGATGGGTGGTTTGGGAGCCTGGGGAACGATAAATTATAACATAAACGCCTCATTTATGTGAAATGGATTTGGGGAGGAAGCAAGAAAGCTTATCTTAATTAAGATATTGACCTTTCAAAGTTTCAGGTACAGTGAATGCCCCGCTGTGAGGAATTTCTTTGTGGGGTAATTTTCTGGGAAAATGAACAACCCACAGTATTTTTACTCGCTGTATATCACAAACACTGTATTTGAAGCAAAACTATCTCGGAGAGAGCCCCGTTCTTCCTTCCCCACAGTGAGCGGCAGGGGAGGGAATGATTTTCTGTTAGAATTATTCTGGGAGTATTTCAATTGAATGTTCACCAAGAAGCACAGCCTCTTCTTATTCAGTAATTGTATGCTTGGGATTTTCAAACTTTTTCGGAGTCAGTGGCCCTTGATTATTCATAAATGTGCATATTTCAAGTTATATTGAAATGTGATGTGTGGTCAGAAACAAATTACAGTGGACCAAGCCTTCAAATAGATTCAGCAGAGTCTTTGAAGGCTTGGTTTGTGGGAAAGTGCAGTGGCATGACCTTCTGAAAGGTAGCTAAGTGTGCACACAGAGACCAGGCTCACTCAAGGCCGAGTACAGATGAGGTGTGAGGAGTGTGGCTTAGTATATCCGAAGACTCAAAGCCCCCACCGCCACCCCCGGCCACTGCTCCCAGATTCTCCTTTGCTGTTTGGCAGAAATAGCTTCAGAAGTGCAACTTGTCCTCACCGAGGTATTGAAGATGCAGAAGTAGCCAGCACATCTGCCGCCAAGAAGCAGAAATCATGTAAAGCTTTGGTGTTTCTGTGCTGGTGCTGTTGCCTCATGTGGCCAGTGTGTGTCACCATGGACAGCAACTCCAATGCTCTCTGTGGGGAAAGGGAGAAATTGACATGTGTTGCATTTAAGATGTTTGTGTCTATTAGAAATTAAAATGTCATTTCTCTTTCAAATGACTGTAAGGTTGAATTTTTATGCAATGTTTTCATTGTAACAATATTTACAGTTTTTTATTTACTTAATGACCCTTCTGGAGGGTGGCGCTGGGGTATTGAAAAGAATGACCGGATGTAATGTATTCAGAAAGGAAATAAAGCTTAGCTGTCAGCAAAAATTCAGAGTTGAACAGAAATGTCATTAGGCTCTCTCTTTGGGGTTTTGGTACTTATTATTTCTGTATGTTTTAGTCTCTGTGAAACAGAAACAAAGTTATTTTAGGACTGCCAGATTGAGTAATGAGAATGCTTTACAAATCCAAAGTTTGTAATGAACAGAAAATATTGAATCATCCTTACAACTTCAAAGGACCCTTAAGTCTGATTAGGTGTCCTAGCTTCCACCACAGAGTGTCCACCTGTCACAAATAGAAGCCTTCAGGATATATTTTTATGTGAGACAATTGATCAGTTGCATATTAGACAATTAGTGCTAGGACATAGTCTTCAGCATCAGTATTTTTTCCTGGTTAATCAAAAACAATTAGTATTTATTATTCTATTATAAGGTAGGCATTGTGTTCCAAATGCACAAGACAAATGTCATAGGTTTTCCTGGCATTGTCCTCAGTAACTGGATGCCCATGTTCATTGACGAGTTGTTTGGGGTCTTAGCTAAATACCAAGCTCAATATTTAGAAAGACAAAATGCTTCACAAACATGGTTTATATTTAAGGATGTGATATTTTATTTTCTGACAAATTATGAACTTAGTTTCATATAATCAATCATTATTTATTGTCTACTGGGTTTTATTAGGTATGTGTTTCTACTGTATTGATTTCACTCTAGTAATTTCATTGTAAGATGTGAGTTCTGAAATCAACAGCAATTGGACCTTTGACTCTGCCCATTAGTTCTGCATTGCCCTGGGAAGGTCTTTTCTCATCTTATTAGGGAACGGAGAGCTTTGTTAAGAAATTAGTTCTGCATCACATTGCTTTGTTGGATTCCATGGGGTTTGGAGGGACAAAAGAATTCAGACTGTGAAGATTTTTGAGATTCCATTTATAGTCACTTGAGCCTGCAGCAGGTATTTTAGTGTATAAAATGTCATAGCATGAATAGAAACAAATTACAAAGCCTGTGAGATGCTTCCAGATCTCATATTAACTTCATGTGCAAGTTTCTCTGTGTATCAGATGTGTTCTGAATAAACAGATTTTTGAGCTATCAGAATGCTCCTGCAATAACAAAACCACCCTCTTCTACCTTAACTTTGAAATAAGAAATCTGTGCACATGTTTATCTAGCGATTTTAACTTACACAATGTTCTTCCTTTCGGCTACTTCATTTGTTTCTTTCTGATTTCTGGATGCATGCAATTCAGTATTTTTGAGGCTAGGAATAATTTTTGTAAGTCATTGTGAAACGTGAATCTATTACTCAACATTTTGTTTTATGTTCATAGTAAAATCAGAAGTATACTTCAAAGTCATACTTTTTATTGTAACATCAACCACGATATCACAAGATGATTTTATCGTTTCTGAAATTTGATTTACTGCTGTTGCTTTGGAAATTTAATAAGATTCTGGATTTGACCATTCTTTAATAAATGTGGACTTTGAACTGTGCCCATTACAATAATTTTTTAAAACGTGTCTAGGCAACAGTTTGGAGTTCTCTTTCATTCCTGGCTAGGATCTGACACATATCCAGAAACCAAACTTATTATGGTTTTAAAAATAGAAGACTGTATGATAAAAATGAAAAGAATGTGGGAGGTTAAAAAGAATTTCAAAATCCTAAGGACAATCACAACTATGGAATTCTACCTCTCTTGTTTTGAAGTCTAGCAAGTATTACAAGATAATGATCATAATAATTTTCTTTTTTCTGTGTACACAAGATATCATTGGAATAAGGCATACAGAAACAAAGTTCTAGGCCTTTCTAGAAAAATTAGCATGAACTTTGATTGTAAAACTCATCTGTCCAGGCTCCTGAAATGGATAATCTCTTGTGCTGTCTTAAGAAAATTTCTTCTGAAGTGTTAGAAATTTTTATAATCACATTAACTCCCACAGGTTTTTCCTGAGTTGGTAATTTAAAAATAATCTTGGTAATTACTCTTAAAGAACTTTTAGATTTAAAAAGAGTTCACAGGCATTTGGTGGTAGACCAGTGACTGGTTGGCAACTGCATTAGGGACACTTGGTAACAATCAAGTCTCATCTGTGTGATGGTTAGTGAACATATTAGTTACATCCCTCATCACTGAGACAACATGCTTGATAAGAGCATCTGGAAGGAAGGATTTATTTTGGCTCACAATTTGAGAGTACAGCCCATCATGATGGGGGAAGGCATGGTGGTGAGCATGGGGCTGGCTGTGGTGGTGGGAATGTAAGGTGGTGAGCGTTCACACGTCGCATCCACAGTCAGGAACCGGAGAGATGAACGTTGATACTCAGTGCCCTTTATCACCCACATTCAGGGTGGGTCTTCCCTTCTTAGTTAAACTTCAGTGGAAACACGTTTATAGACACGAACAGAAGTGTGTCTCCATGGTAATTCTAAACCCAGTCAAGCTGACAATGAACATTAAGTATCATAGTGAACGTCTGTGAACTTAGGGGTCATGGTCATTGGTGCTCTGTAACAGGGCAAAATAACATAGTGATTCAGAGATTGGCTGAGAAACTAGATAGACCCAGGTAGGGTCTCACTAGTTATTTTACAGTAGTGAGGGTGCTCTTTCTCTGGGCTTCAGTAACTTTGATAATAAAATGAACATTGTTATAAAGATTGCTATGCTAATTTATTAAAATTATTGTTGTGCAATTATCATATTGCTAGGTGCTAGGCATATAGCAAATTAAGAAGTCAGAGCTTCATATTGCCTTACAAATAACTACCAAAAATTACACAGATAATAATTTAATTCCTATTAATTACTATTAAGATAAATTATATATATATGAAAAACTGAGAGTGTAATGGGAGCCTGTATTCTAGTTTGGAGAGGCACAGGGTTAGGGAGACTGTCTCTAAAGAATGATTTATTATGATAGCTAATGAACGTATGAGAGTAGTCTATAGAAGAGAGCCAATGGGGGATTCAGAGAGGAAGAATCACACAGGCAAAGAGGGTTTGAACACATTCCCAGAGCTTAGGATTAACATGGTGCATTGGAGAAAATGGAAGAAGTTTAGAGGATTGGAGACATAGGGTTAGGGTATGACATGAAGTAAACGCATCAAGCAGGGACCAGGTTACGTGATGGAACACAGTGCCATAGCAGAATTGAAAAGTTAACACTGTACAAAGTGGTATTGTGTGGGCGGAATAAGGATGTCCCCATGATGTGCATGTTGGAGGAACTTGAGACTTTTATATTTTTTGACTCAAGGAAATCTAAGTTGTTCCTGAACTAAGCTTACTGATGCTATCAGTGATTATCTAGATGGACCCCATGTAATCAGAGAAGTCAGTGCCAGATTGCCATGATGTGAGAAAGACTAAACCAGCCATTGCTGGCTTTGAAGATGGAAGTGGGCCAAGAGCCAAAGAACGCAGTCAATATCCAGAAGTTGGAAAGGGCTGGAAATGAAGTCCTTTTGGAGCTTTGAGGGGGACACAGCACTGTTGGCACCTTGATCAGTGACACTAATTTTGGACTTTTGAATTGTGAAATAATGAGTATATGGTGATCAAAGTTACCAATTTTGTGGCAATTTGTTTAGCAGTAATAGGAAACATACATTATTGGTATAACCTTCTATAAAAAGGTGGAGGGCTTCTGTAA